AGTGTCTTTTGAAAACCCTGACTGTTTGCTAGCTTTTCATAGACTTCAAAATGGAAGACATCTTTTATCTTAATGTAGTCACAATGACAGTACATTGCTGTACTCTTAAACTAAATGACACCACAGAGTTGACAAATGGTTGCTGATATTGGGCAGTGTTTACCAAGGAGTGTACTTAACAAGACATTTACAAGACCCTAGAAACTTGTATTTTTAACAAGCACTCCACACTATTCTATGCTTTGCTTGAGACTGTGGTTTGGGGAAGCCATTTTTATTTTCCTTATGTGCCAGACTAAATATGTAATAAAATTAAATTATGTCATGGAATCAAAAATGTTTAAAAACTACAGAAAGTATTAATAGACATATAAATACAATAAAATTTAAAACTTGAAATGAAATGAAATATTATCTATTCATAAAGATAAGTATCCTAAACAAAATCTGCTCAATGAGAAATATTTAATGGTAGAAATATAAATTGAGTTAATTAAATTTGGTGTGCCTCTTGAATCATAGTTTGGTCAAGAAAAGAGACTGCACAGTTGATTTTCTCAGATATTTTGGTCACAGAAACAGAAAGTTGATTAACACAGTAAAGTTCTTAAGTTGAAACTTGGTGATGCTCACTTGTGTCTACTTTAATATATAAATTACAAATAAGTTGTTTTCCTTGCAATTTACTTGTTGAAGTAGTTGTGTTACTTGCCGTGTACACTTTTCTACATTCTAAAATTTGCTGATTGCATCCAATGATGTGAATCATTTCTTTAGCCCCTTCTCAGTGATAAATGGTAATCAAATTCAAAATTTTGGCAAGAATACCTTCTAGATGGTCATGTATACTTTCTTCAAGGAACACACAATACATGACTAACTCTCCATGTCATATTAGCACCCATTGGGTGACCTCTGCCCAAATCCATTGGGAAAAAGTGATATTCAATTCCTTCACTCCTGCCTTATCTTAATTATATCTATAACAAAAAGCTTATTCTATCAACCCCTTAAACAAGGAGTACCTTAAAGTACAGTTTGTATAGGAAGATAAGATATAAGCTTGATAGTTTTCGAGTCTGTTAGATTTTTCATCACTGTGGCCAAAATACCTGATAAGAGTAATTTAGAATTTGGGGAAAAGCTTATTTTGCCTCATGGTTTCAGAGGTTCAGTCATAGTGGGACAATTCCATTGCTCTGAGCTCAAGATGAGGTAGAACAATATGGTAGAAGGGCATGTCAGAGAAAAGCTGCTCAGCTCATGAGCAGAATGAGATAATCCATTTGATAGAGCCAAGGAGTAGATAAAATCCCCAAGGGTGTATCCCCAGTGACTCACTTACTCCAACCATGCCCCACCAACATTTACCACCATTAGAATTATTAATCTATCAAATGGATCAACCCACTGATGAGATTACACCCCTCATGATTCAATCATTTTACGTCTAAACATTGCTGCTGCATTGACTCACAGGTACCTTTTGGGAGGCATTCCAGATTCAATCCATAACACCATGATTACCTTCCTCCTGGTCAATTCTAGCCCTGAGTTCTTGTTTCCATGAAATAATCCTTCTCTTCCCTGTACATTACCTTTTCCATGTGGCAGCTTCCTGTACTTAACACTGTGTGTCAAGCTTCAATAAAGAATTAGACACAGCAAGGTTATGTGTGAGAGGCCAGGTAGGATAGAAGTGTTGTATTGCAGCACAGTACTGGATTAAAAATAGGGTATTGCATATCAGATATACTTCACTTCTTCTTATAGCATGTGGGCTATTTTCATTATAGGAATTATTGCTGAGGTAGTCCTGTCTTTTCCACTGCTAAATGCCTCCATCATCATTTTGACCTTCTCTAATTCCTCCTTATTTTGCCCTTAGGTCGTTTTGTGTGTATGTGTGTGTGTGTTTTGTTTTGTTTTTCATATGACTGGCTATCACACTTTTAGTGTATAAACCTTTTCTTATCATTTGTATTAACTAACTTTCTGTCACTGTGGTAAAAAAAAAAACTGAGATAATCAACTTAGAAGGACGAAAGGTGTATTTTGGATCACAGTTTTATAGATTTTAGTTCATGGTTAGGCAACTTGTTGTTAGGCCTGTGGTGGCATGGTAGCTGTATCATGGTGGGAACATGTAGAAAAGGAAGCTGCTTACATCACAGAGGCCAGAAAATAAAAGAGCCAAATAGGAAGGGGCTGGGGTACTGATATATCCTTTAAGGGGATGCCCCCAATGTCTTAACTTTCTTCTACAAGGCTCTACTTCTTCAACTCTCCACTCCCTCCCAATTGCATCACAGGCAAGGGACCAAGCTTTAATACAAGGAACTTGGGGGGACATTTCATATCTAACCTATAGCATCTTTATTCCCTAAATGATAGAGTACAGCACTGTTTATATGGTATGTACATTGTATTAGGTATCATAAAGACTTTAGAGATGATTTTAAACACACTAGAGTATTTATATAGGTTGTGTGCAAATACTACTTCATTTTATATAAAGGACTTGATTGAGCAGGTATTGAGGGACAACTGTATTTATTTATTAAGTGGGTTAAGGATTGTAATTGTGAGCTTGATGTTTCTTATCACTTATTTGATCCCTCTTTCATACTCATTTCTTCTATAGTCTCTGAAGCCCTTTCCCCAAATTAGGACAGTTTTATAACTCTTTAAACTTTTGATTAGGAAAATTTTTCAAGATGTAAAATGCAGTAATTACCTAAATAAAACACACGAGAATTCAATTTTGATCCCCCATATTTTGTTTTTAAGTTGTTGATGTACCTTTAATTTTACTTACTTATTTACATGTGGTGCTGAGAATTGAACCTGGTGCCTCCCACACGCGAGGCAAGCACTCCTCCGATAAGCTACAATTCCAGTCCCTTATCCTCTGTATTTAGTTCATGATAAGTTAGACATATTTTATTTTATAGCCTCTATAAATAGAGAGTATAAACCAAAATGGATTAGGAAATATGTGTTAAGATGTACATATTTTGTAATTTTAAAAATAAGCAATCATTCTGTACTTGTAACTTGAGTGAAGCAATATTTTAAATGAACAAGAATGGATTAAAGTTGATCCCAGAACATGATCAATCTAGTCAAAGAATCCACCAAGCAACATCTAGTATACATTGAAGGTACACAAGACACCCCCAAATACACATGCACACCCAGATCTAGTAACTTTCACCAGCCCTAGTTGAAGGGCAGCAACTCAATTGTAATAATTAGTAATAAGCAGACCAGGTTGACCATATTGACTAGTCCAGTCTGTGTCAAAACTTTCTAATAAATTACATTAGAAAATTAATTTTCTACTTGTTAGTTTAAAAATACAGGGACTAGGGATGTGGCTTAGTGTCTGCTTGGCATGTATGAAGCCCTGAGTTTGATCCTTAGCTCTGAAAACAAAAACCCATGAGAACCAAAATTTTGCCTTATTTTTCACCTACCTATCACTAATAGTTATCTATATATCAAAGAAGAGGTTAATGTTGTCACATGCAAAGAAAGTATTGCTGTCCATTTTATTTCTAAATCTAGTTGATGCTTAGAGAAGCATAAAAACACTTGCCCAAATTCACAAAAGATCAGTAATAGAGAGAAGCTAAAAGTCTTGTGATACTACAGTCTTTGTGCCCAACTACCACATAACAGAACTTGTATTCTTGTACCAAGACATGAAACACTATGAAAACAATATCTATTCCATATTTAGAAGTGAGGTAGTTTAGAAACAGTTTTCATTGTATCTAATTTATAAATAACTTGCACTTTTGGGTGTGTAAAAAGGAAGGGAGTCAAGGTAGGATGATATATAAACTTCTCTGCTCACCTACCTGTGATGCTTAGTATAATGTTTTCTTACTGTGAGACACTTCCTTATCCTCCTGCCTACCTGTCAGTTATGTTCATGATGAAGGCAGGGGAAGATATTATTTACATCAAACATATTGTTGAAATTAAGCTGAGGGGCCATTGGATCTCTAAGCACATTTATGTCCTCGTTGCTTCTCTGCTCTTTGAATTTTTGATTAATCTTTTCATTTAGAAGCAAAAGGTATTTAATGAAGAATACTAATAAAGCCATGACCATTTCAGGCCAAATTTGATCTAATATTTCTATGAAGAGATAACTTTGAAAATTAATCTGATCGTGCATTTTATTTTCTTCTTTCAAAAATATGTAGTCCAAATCTTCACATTTCAGACAATAATTTGTTTGCCATCACTTTACAATAAGTTGTAAGACAAGTATGTTATTTGTATGTTTATGTTATAAGTAGTAGTATAAGAAAAATTCAGGAAAAAATAGGATCATACATATCTGTCTAACAGAATACTTGCAATATTTTGTTGTATTTTCTTGCAATCATTTTACTCTTGCATCTGAATTCTACATAGATTTTATCTACAATATATACAATCCTTTATATCCTGCTACAGATTATGCCACACATTCTCCTCTCATGTCATAATACATGTCTTCCTAGTAACTTATTGAGTAGTTGAATGATAATTGTATTGACACCACATCTCCCAATTATCAGTTAGTTTTTTAATGTTGGCATTTATCTAGTGCTAAAAATCTTTGAACTATAATTTTGGACTTTTGTGAGTTACTTGGGCAAAAACTTTGTGTACTTTTAGGATTTATAACCCATGTTGCCATGTTGTTTTCCCAAGAATGTTTTGTAATTAGAAGGCCAGCAATGATGTAAAGGAGTGCCAAAAATTTGTACAGCATCCTTGCCATCATACAAAATATATATAGAGATTTTGAAAAAAAAAGTTATTTTATATATAATGTAATATATAATAATTTTATATATTTTTGAATTTATATTATATATATTTTGAAAAAATTATTGTATACATTTTATATAAAATATGATTTTTTTCAAAATGTGCTTCACAAATGAAAAATTGTACCTCATAACATTCTGTTTTGTGTTTCTCACTTTAAATATTAGAGTGAAGAAGGATCCCCACAGGAAGGAATTCTGGAAGATATGCCAGTGGAACCTGACAATGAGGCTTATGAAATGCCTTCTGAGGTAAAGAGTTATATGCAAAACACTCCAAAATTAAAGTTTAGAAATTTAAGTTGAGTCTTCCTAATAGGAAGTACCAAAAATCTGTCACTGTCAGATTTCTTTTATGTTAGAATGGGTGTAAGTCCATCAGGAGAAGATTTTTTTTTTTTTTTTTTTTTTGAGGAGGTGAGGTTGATCTGGTGGGAAGGGGTAGGAGATACAATAGGTTAAAATGAGGCAAGAACATTGCAGCACAGGGATATATCAGAAGCAAAAGCATGTAGGTCTGTGCATATGGACAGGTCTGAGGAACAGTAATTGTGATTCAAGTTTAGGAAACAGAGACAAGAGCAGCAAATTAAGATTACAGATGTGGATAGCTTGGTGCATGCATGTAATCCTAGCAGCCTGGGAGGTTAAGTCAGGAGGAAAGGTGAGGGGCTGGGGATGTGGCTTAGTAGTTAAGCAACCCTGGGTTCAATACCCAATGCCAAAAATAAATAAATAAATGAAATATTGCAGAGATGGTTTAAAGACAAATTGTAGAACATCAGGACAACCATGTAGTTTGTTTGTACTTTATTCAGAAAGCAGCTGGAGATTTTAAAGATATGTTTATTTTTAAGCAGACGCCTAATCTTATTAGAGTTGGCTTTTAAAAGCACTTATATGAGTCTTTTAGTTAAACACATTAATATTTTTATTGTGGATACTACCTAAATATTTTATTGATGAATTTGGCTTTAGAATAAAAATAATCATTGAAGCCACAGGTGAAGATGAAATTTGCAGTTGAGAGAATAAAAGGAAAGAAAATATATCTGTTCTTTAAATATCATAAACTTCTTTTAAGAATTAGAGAATTTAGTCCTGAATTTAGCCTTTAAGAGATTTCATAAGCCATTTAATTGGCTTTCAAATTTGTAATTGAGAAAATTGAGAGTTCCACCAATATGTTCTATAGGATTAGGTCACAGGGATATTAAATGGCACATCTGGAAATAGAACCAGAGACCTTAATTCCAACAATTACCATAATTGACTTTCATATCTGACAAGTAAGACAAATTATTAAAATTAAGATTATATCTGTTTGTAGTAGTATAAGTAGTAGTATAAGTTTGTAGTAGTATAAGTAGTATATTCATAAGTATAAATTTTACTCAAAATGGTGAGCCATGCCCTAATTTGCTCTAAATCCTTGATTACTGATTGCTTGCTGTCTGTTTGATTTTCCTCATTAGGAAGGCTATCAAGACTATGAACCTGAAGCCTAAGAAATATCCTTGTTCCCAGTTTCTTGAGATCTGCTGACAGATATTCCATCCTGTACAAGTGCTCAGTCCCAATGTGCCCAGTCATGACATTTCTCACAGTTTTTACAGTGTGCTTTGAAGTCTTCCATCAGCAGTGATTAAAGTATCTGTACCTGCCCCCACCTAGCATTTCGGTGCTTCCCTCTCACTGAAGTGAGTATATAATAGCAGGGTCCTTGTGTGCTGTGGACATTGTGGCTTCAAATCTAAAATGTTAAAGCAAATTAAAAACACCTAAGTGACTACCACTTATTTCTAAATCTTCACTATTTTTTTGTTGCTGTTGTTGAGAAGTTGTGATTTACTATCATATAAGATTTTTAGGTGTCTTTGATGATTCTGTCCAAGAATAATGATGTATCGTGAAATTTGTTAATATATACAATATATAAAATATGTGAGCATGAAACTATGCACCTATAAATATTAACTATGAAATTTTACTGTTTGTGATGTGTTTTATTAATTTGTGTTTGTATATAAATTGGTGAAAATGAAAATAAAATGTTATCTCATTACAAAAATATTTTATCTTATCCTATCTCACTTTAACAATAAAATCATGCTTATAACCAATATGAAATGAGAGCTGACATAATGAACTTACATTTAAAGTTCTCAACAGCCACTTGAAGAAGGAGGCATTTGAGAAGACTTAGAAGAGGTGAAATAGTAAGCCCACACTCAGAATTCCCTGAAACAACACTACCTCATGGGTGTTTTGATGTACATTGGTGCCTTAGGTGGCTGTACTGAAAAAGTGGATTTCCCCGGAAACCAATGTGATTACATTTGTTTACATCCCCTATAGATATTCATTAAGATTATTACTGCAAAAGCTCAGAAAACCTGCTTACTTAATCCGTGGTGCATGCATATAATCTTAGCAGCCCAGGAGGCTAAGTCAGGACAACAACCAGTAAAAACCAGCACCAATAGCTTAAAAAAAAAAAAAAATCTAAAATCCCCACTCCCCACCCCAGGAAATGCTTTCAAAATCATCTCTAGCCTAGGATGTTGGCACGCGTGAGGCTGTGGGTTCAGTACCCCCAATGAAAATCGAAAATAAAAACCCCTGGATTTTATCTGCTATTAGGAAAAGCCAAGCCCCCAGACTGGTAAAAATCTCATAAATTTCTTTAAATTCGGCTAAATATGTGAATTCTGTGAGATTTCCTAAGGAAAAGTTTTTCTTTTTTTTTTTTTTTTAATTTTTTATTGTTGGTTGTTCAAAACATTACATAGTTCTTGATATATCATATTTCACACGTTGATTCAAGTGGGTTATGAACTCCCATTTTTACCCCGTATACAAATTGCAGAATCACATCAGTTACACATCCATTGATTTACATATTGCCATACTAGTGTCTGTTGTATTCTGCTGCCTTTCCTATCCTCTACTATCCCCCCTCCCCTCCCCTCCCCTCTTCTCTCTCTACCCCCTCTACTGTCATTCATTTCACCCCTTGTATTATTTTCCCCTTTCCCCTCACTTCCTCTTGTATGAAATTTTGTATAACCCTGAGGGTCTCCTTCCATTTCCATGCAATTTCCCTTCTCTCTCCCTTTCCCTCCCACCTCTCATCCCAGTTTAATGTTAATCTTGTTCTCATGCTCTTCGTCCCTACTCTGTTCTTAGTTACACTCCTTATATCAAAGAAGACATTTGGCATTTGTCTTTTAGGGATTGGCTAGCTTCACTTAGCATAATCTGCTCTAATGCCATCCATTTCCCTGTAAATTCTATGATTTTGTCATTTTTTAATGCAGAGTAATACTCCATTGTGTATAAATGCCACATTTTTTTTATCCATTCGTCTATTGAAGGGCATCTAGGTTGGTTCCACAGTCTTGCTATTATGAATTGTGCTGCTATGAACATAGATGTAGAAGTGTCCCTGTAGCATGCTCTTTGTAGGTCTTTAGGGAATAGACCTAGAAGGGGAATAGCTGGGTCAAATGGTGGCTCCATTCCCAGCTTTCCAAGAAATCTCCATACTGCTTTCCAAATTGGCTGCACCAATTTGCAGTCCCACCAGCAATGTACAAGTGTACCCTTTTCCCCACATCCTCGCCAGCACTTGTTGTTTGACTTCATAATGGCTGTCAATCTTACTGGAGTGAGATGGTATCTTAGGGTGGTTTTGATTTGCATTTCTCTGACTGCTAGAGATGGTGAGCATTTTTTCATGTACTTGTTGATTGATTGTATGTCCCCCTCTGAGAAGTGTCTGTTGAGGTCCTTGGCCCATTTGTTCATTGGGTTATTTGTTATCTTATTGTCTAATTTTTTGAGTTCTTTGTATACTCTAGATATTAGGGCTCTATCTGAAGTGTGAGGAGTAAAGATTTGTTCCCAGGATGTAGGCTCCCTATTTACCTCTCTTATTGTTTCTTTTGCTGAGAAAAAACTTTTTAGTTTGAGTAAGTCCCATTTGTTGATTCTAGTTATTAACTTTTGTGCTATGGGTGTCCTATTGAGGAATTTGGAGCCCGACCCCACAGTATGTAGATCATAGCCAACTTTTTCTTCTATCAGACGCCGTGTCTCTGATTTGATATCAAGCTCCTTGATCCATTTTGAATTAACTTTTGTGCATGGCGAGAGAAAGGGATTCAGTTTCATTTTGTTGCATATGGATTTCCAGTTTTCCAAGCACCATTTGTTGAAGATGCTATCCTTCCTCCATTGCATGCTTTTAGCCCCTTTATCAAATATAAGATAGTTGTAGTTTTGTGGATTGGTTTCTGTGTCCTCTATTCTGTACCATTGGTCCACCCGTCTGTTTTGGTACCAGTACCATGCTGTTTTTGTTACTATTGCTCTGTAGTATAGTTTGAAGTCTGGTATCGCTATACCTCCAGATTCACACTTCCTGCTTAGCATTGTTTTTGCTATTCTGGGTCTTTTATTTTTCCATATGAATTTCATGATTCCTTTCTCTATTTTTACAAGAAATGCCATTGGGATTTTGATTGGGATTGCATTAAACCTATAGAGAACTTTTGGTAATATCGCCATTTTGATGATGTTAGTTCTGCCTATCCATGAACAGGGTATATTTTTCCATCTTCTAAGATCTTCTTCTATTTCTCTCTTTAAGGTTCTGTAGTTTTCATTGTATAAGCCTTTCACCACTTTTGTTAGGTTGATTCCCAAGTATTTTATTTTTTTTGAGGATATTGTGAATGGAGTGGTTGTCCTCATTTCCATTTCAGAGGATTTGTCGCTGATATACAGGAATGCCTTTGATTTATGCGTGTTGATTTTATATCCTGCCACTTTGCTGAATTCATTTATTAGCTCTAATAGTTTCTTTGTAGAGCCTTTTGGGTCTGCTAGGTATAGAATGATGTCTTCTGCAAATAGTGATAATTTAAGTACTTCTTTTCCTATTTTTATGCCTTTAATTTCTTTCGTCTGTCTAATTGCTCTGGCCAGCGTTTCGAGAACTATGTTGAACAGAAGTGGTGAAAGAGGGCATCCCTGTCTTGTTCCAGATTTTAGAGGGAATGCCTTCAATTTTTCTCCATTCAGAATGATGCTAGCCTGAGGCTTAGCATAGATTGCTTTTACAATATTGAGGTATGTTCCTGTTATCCCTAGTTTTTCTAGAGTTTTGAACATAAAGGGATGCTGTACTTTGTCGAATGCTTTTTCCGCATCTATCGAGATGATCATATGGTTCTTATTTTTAATTCTATTGATGTGGTGAATAACATTTATTGATTTCCGTATATTGAACCAGCCTTGCATCCCAGGGATGAATCCTACTTGATCATGGTGTACAATTTTTTTGATATGTTTTTGTATCCGATTCGCCAGAATTTTATTGAGGATTTTTGCATCTAGGTTCATTAGAAATATTGGTCTGTAGTTTTCTTTCTTTGAAGTGTCTTTGTCTGGTTTAGGAATCAGGGTGATGTTGGCCTCGTAGAATGAATTTGGAAGTTCTCCCTCTTTTTCTATTTCCTGAAGTAGCTTGAAAAGTATTGGTATTAGTTCCTCTTTAAAGGTTTTGTAAAACTCTGCTGTATACCCATCCGGTCCTGGGCTTTTCTTAGTTGGTAGTCTTTTGATGGTTTCTTCTATTTCCTCAATTGATATTGGTCTGTTTAGGTTGTCTATATCCTCCTGACTCAATCTGGGCAGATCATATGACTTAAGAAATTTATCTATGCCTTCACTATCTTGTAATTTATTGGAGTATAAGGATTCAAAATAATTTCTAATTATCTTCTGTATTTCTGAAGTGTCTGTTGTGATATTGCCTTTTTCATCCCGTATGCTAGTAATTTGAGTTCTCTCTCTTCTTCTCTTCGTTAGCATGGCTAAGGGTCTGTCGATTTTATTTATTTTTTCAAAGAACCAACTTTTAGTTTTGTCAATTTTTTCAATTGTTTCTTTTGTTTCGATTTCATTAATTTCAGCTCTGATTTTAATTATTTCTTGCCTTCTACTTCTTTTTGCTGTTGATTTGCTCTTCTTTTTCTAGGATTTTGAGATGAAGTGTGAGATCATTTATTTGTTGGTTTTTTTCTTTTTTTAAGGAATGAACTCCAGGCAATGAATTTTCCTCTTAGAACTGCTTTCATTGTGTCCCATAGATTCCGATATGTTGTGTCTGTGTTTTCATTTATCTCTAAGAATTTTTTAATATCCTCTTTGATGTCTTCTATAACCCATTGATCATTCAGTAACCTATTGTTCATTCTCCAAGTGATGCATGATTTTTCCTTCCTTCTTTTATCCTTGATATCCAGTTTTATTCCATTATGATCAGAAAAGATGCATGGTATTATCTCTACTCTTTATAATATCTAAGAGTTGCCCTGTGACATAATATATGATCTATTTTTGAGAAGGATCCATGTGCTGCTGAGAAAAAAGTGTAACTGCTTGATGTTGGGTAGTATATTCTATATATGTCAATTAAGTCTAGGTTATTAATTGTGTTATTGAGTTCTATAGTTTCCTTATTCAACTTTTGTTTGGAAGATCTGTCCATTGGTGAGAGAGGTGTGTTGAAGTCTCCCATGATTATTGTATGGTGGTCTATTAGACTCTTGAACTTGAGAAGAGTTTGTTTGATGAACATAGCTGCACCATTGTTTGGGGCATATATATTTATGATTGTTATGTCTTGTTGGTGTATGGTTCCCTTGAGCAGTATGTAGTGTCCCTCTTTATCCCTTTTGATTAACTTTGGCTTAAAATCTATTTTATTTGATATGAGTATGGA